TATGTTTAAGGATTTAATATTAAAATAGTTCTGATATATTTCGAATAAAAAACGAAATTTTACTCGAGTGCAATGTATATAACTTTTCATTACGTACGTAATTATTAATTTTATTATTAAGCGACATAAGATATATAAATCTTATATGATTTGTTACTATATATACAGTTTTATCTCATATACTGTCTCTTTTAGAAAACAAGACTTTCATGTATAAAATTATTCTAAATTTGCCATAACAATTAATAATTATTAAGTGATCAGTGCAGAATTATTAATTTCGAATATTGAGCTAAGAAAATATTGATAACGATTTAAATTTATTTATTGATTTTGATATTTTTATCTGTAATTTTTATCTGAAATTAATCTTAGATGTCTGTTATTATAGTTGTCATGGAAGATCTCTAGAACATCTTACATATTAGAAAACTAAAAGGCAATAACATTGAATAAAATATATATATATATATTTATTTTTAAAAACACATTCAGAAATCAAAGTTAGCGGCCAAAAATCAATGAATGTCTGCGAAATTCTTTTCATAAGATGGAGTTTAATAATAAAATATATATAAGAAATAATATAAATTGTAAGGATTCTCAATCTTTAAAAAACAAATAAATTCAAGGCTACATAATAAGAGTTAGCGCGGAAGGGATTGCACAAATTATTAACGTTATTCCGTTTGATGTATGTTTTTTTTATTAAGAGAAATTTTGAATGTTTCAACTCTCTTTAGAGTTCTCAGAAAAACAATCGTACATTCTTAATCGAAATTAAGTATCAGTCAAAATTAAGTCACTCGCAAATTGCTAAAATTTAAGTGAATTCTGATTTAAAATATTAATTATCAATTTAAAAATTATCTGAAAGCACAACGAGCAACTTACCTCAACGGAATCATAAAGCTTTGTTATAAAGCTTTGAATGATGTTAAAATTCGATGCACAACTTAATTTTAGTGAATATGTTGAAAGTAAACTGTCTAAACATCTGTATAACTCGATGTATCAAGCGCATCTAACGAATAATTTAAAATTATATAAGGTCGAATGGAACTATAATCGCTCGACCTTTGACAATTTAAAATTATTCATTAGTCACGCTCGATACATCGAATTATTCAGACCATGTTTAGACAATTTAGAATCTATTTCAATTTTGCAATCTATGAGTGATTTAATTTTGATTGTTAAATTTCGATTAAGAATGTACGATTGATTTACTGATGAGAGCTTCAAAGAGAATTGAAACGTTCAAAATTTCTGAATAAAGAAGGCATACATCAAATGGAATAAAATTAATTATTCTAATTTAATAATCTGCGTAACTCCTGCCGTGTTGACTCGTTTAGTCTTGAATTTCTTTGTTGCATATGCTATATATGTATGTAATGTGAGTGTGTATGTGTGTGTGTGTGTGTGTGTGTGTGTGTGTTTAGTTATTTAAAAATAATATTCGATGTATGCCTCATTAATATATACTATATTCAATTATCATAAGCTTATTGTTTAAATTTCTTGGAGTGACATCTCACTTCAAGAGAGTTAAAACATTACCACTATTGAAAGAGTCAAAAATTTATACTCTTGATTTCATTTTTGGGATGAGATTCACTCCAAAAATGAGATTTTTTTCCTTTAAGAAAATACAATTTCATGGAGCGTATCTTCGCTGGCGTTTTACTCTCATTCCACCACAATTAAAGCAATGCACAGTGAAGTACTTGTCCGATTTAGGCGGCCGATTTAGGCAAAGATCCATTTTTTTTTAAATTCACTCCAAGTTGAAAATAAATATTACTTAAGAAAGCTGAAGAGTCAGAAAACAATTGATTATCTAAAGGTGCCTCTACATCAGACCTGCTCAATTTGAGCTTCGAGGGTCAAATCGTAATTCGCAAATGCTGAAGCAGAATGACGATCACCACACACAAGACGCACACAGATGAAAAGCAATAAAACTGCACTGCATAAAATGAAAAAAATAAACGCAAATTTTCATTCTGCGTCTGCGAACTATGTTTTGCGATTTGCGAGTTATGTAAAAGCACCTTAATGTTTATCGTCACGCGTAAACAATTAGCGATCAGTCCAACAGTCGAAACCTATCCTTTTAATAATTAGACGTATTTTTCCTCGGCGTTCATAGCATCCTTTCAAGAGTGAATATTTTTTATTCAGGATATAGTTTCAAATGAGTAACTACGAATTGTGATAAAAAGGTTAAATATATTTTAATTATATTCATCAAAATTGTTTCAACTATTTCAACTTTAAGCAAAAGCGTTTTGAACAAATTTTTTGTTATTTTCTTAAGTCAATTTTAATAAACTCGATGATATTAATAGTACCTCTCTGTATTTCTCAATAATTTTTTTTTATTTGATTAAAAAAATGAAGATTTCTACTTTGCAATTTCATAAAAACCAGCCGCGGAATCGTGCGGTTTTCCGTCATATAACCAATATAAGTTTATTAAAGTATTTAGTAATAAATATGAATTTCTTGAGCCTTCATATGTTTATTTCTAGTTTCAATTATTTGAATTTAATTTTAGAGTCAATGTATGTCAAGATAATGATTGCAATTGATATTATTATATTTACATTTTAAGCTTAAACTTATAATTAAATAGTTAAAAATTGTAAGAACTATATTTTTTCATATAAAAAAAGTATTTTTTACAACTTAAAATACAATGAATTAGTAAAACGACATATTTAGATTCATTACAAAAATAATTTTGGCCACCTAAATCAATCAGATATCCTACTGTACAGCGTTTAAAAGTTTGGATATAAAGTAGAGCAGGGCTTTTTCGACCATTTTTTGCGATAATATTTGTTTTTGAACAGCATGATGACATAATTTAAAGATTGTATTTGTGCTCTCAAGAAGCAATCATGATTATATAATGTAATTATAAGCACGTCACTGTAAAGATATATTGTTTGATATTTAAATTTTCGTATTATTTTAAAGTTGAAAATGACGGAATAGCCTATCTCCATTATCTATACATATATTATTGTTATTTATATTAAATAATGCGCAATATTTTAACAAGGAACATATCTCTTACAATTGACTATTAAAAAAAAATATTATAGAAAAAATTGAAAACTTCCGATTTCCTACGTCGTCTTTTTTGCAATAACGAAGACATACGTATATATGTATCCCCTCCCACACACACATACATATATTTATTATTGCATTTGTATATATACTGTGTATATTAAGGTGCAGGTTAATTCGCTAAGTCATAGTAGCGACTTGACTTGCCGACTTTGAGTCGATAACACTCAACGCGCGCGCGTTTGAAATAAGAAAAGATATTGATAATAACATAATAAAATAATGTAATAAAATAATGTAATGTAATAAAATAATGTATTGAAATTTATTATGTATTTTTGCTGTTGCATTTAAAATTATATTCCTGCAGAAATGCATAATATCTTCTTTACGTTTACACTGCTTTTTATATATCTATTTGTATGAATTTATGATTTATATTTTATAATGTGTTACATGTTATAAATTAAAAATTATGCAAATATACATATAACATAACGGAGATAAATATATCCTCATATATATTTATCTCCGTATTATGCTATACGTTTATCTGTATACAATATATAATTTATAACATAACACATTATAAATAATAAATTTATAAGATTCATCATGCGCAATGCAGTATAGATAAGTTCATCATTTCTAATAATAATTATAAATTCTTTACATTTCATGTTATGTTTATGCGTCTCATATTTCTCTTCTCCCTTCGTAAAATTTAATATCGTGTTATTTAATATTCTTTCGATAAATTATATTTGTACATTATGTAGTATTGTATTTTTTGTATAATATATATAATATAAATGATATATCATTTATTCGAAGCTGTTTTGTTCACTCTTTTTTGCGCTCGATATATACAGCAAAAAAAGTAATTCGGATTTCGGAACTACCTGCCGATGTTGTTATTCTTTTTGTTATGCTTTCGCCGTTATAATCTTATATATATTTATATATGGTGTTAATAAATCTGATTTACGGATGGATTATAAAAAAGACATTATCATGTAAATGATTACAAAAACGAAATTGTTTGAATTCAGTCAAATATCATGTGTATCAAAATGACACAGAAATAAATATACAATGAGTGCAAAAAGTATTCATACAGAAAAAATATTTTTTAAAAAACTTTATTTTTAATAAATAATATTGTATTGTTCAGCGAGAAATGAGTCATTATCGAATTGATGTCGAATCGATATTGATACGATTTTAATACCAATTTGACGTCAATTCGATGTTTAATTGATGATCATTTCTTGCTGGATAATTAACAATTTATTTATAAAGAATAAAATAGACTGTGTTTCTTAAAATTATATATACCAGAAAGATGTACATATATTAATTATAGAAAATATATCATTTGAAAAATTATTCGTACAGACAAGAAATTTAATTTCTAAAATCAGGAATACATGCGAAGCTCGTTTGTTTATGTTAGAACAGAATGTATTTATTGTAAAAATGCTAATTAATGTTTATTCTACAAATAAGACTATTTTTATAAAAAATTTCCTTGTACGAATATTTTTTGCACTCACTGTATATACATATAGACTACGAATAGGATCAAACCAAACCAATAAAGTAAAAGGATGAGAGATAAAGACAAAATATAGGTATCTGAGTACGCATTTGCAAAAGTATACGCTCATTAATTAGAAATTATCTTTATTTCACAGTTCTTTTGATGTAATCGTATCATAATATTTATATGTCAATACTAGATAATTATTTTCTCGTGCGAAGAACTAATTGAAGAATATATCACGGCAATTCTAAATCAATAATAATAATATACATCATCGATCACAATATTCGAGTAATCTGGTATTAATAGAACATCGTGCATTTTCGAATTAATTCGATTATTTAGCTTTCTTTATACATATGTTTTTTTGGAATATATCGTAATACATACGTATCGCTAGAGATATAAGGAGCCGATAGCAAAGTTTTTCTCTGTTCCTTTTAACAACGATTATTGTAATGTATGCAAATAAAACGCATATATAACAAAAGGTATTGCATCACAATTGTTTATAACAAGAGACTTCAATTAACGATTTCAATTCACTTATTGTTATTAGAACATAAATTTTATTTTTCATAATCGTACAGCAGAAATTCAATCGATTGTAGCTTATCGACGAATTTATTATAATAGCACACGCAAAAATTAATATAGTATCACCATATTATCCTAGTCAAGAAAAAAAGAAAAAAAAAAGAATGTCATGCGAATTCCAGATTCACGCAAAGCGGCGAAGTGCGAGATACGTTATTTTGTACTCTCACAAATAACGTGATTGCCGCATGTTTTTGACAATAAAAGACGACGATGAGGTACGAACTATCGTGCCAATCTTACGTTGAGTAAGAATCTACGACTAAATGCATTCTCGATAGTAAAAACAAAAGGATATATATTTTTTTATTCCGGTCGCCTTAGGTGGGAAAATCCTGTGAGATGAGATCCTTGAAGACGCCGGCCGCGAGAATAGGAACGTCCGTAATCTGAAACAAAAATTGAATCGATAAGAATGAGGAGACAATAGCGTCGTTTGGACATTTTCAAAGAATATTGCCACGGAATATCGCGAAATGGGAATACATATACTACGCGTTACGCAATCAGGAGAAAGATAAATAAACATGCGCGTGTGGACTGTGACGTTGTGTGAGTCATCGCGCACAAAGATAGTCGGCGCCGATAGCGAAATAAGACGCAATACGGCGGTGCGCTTACATTTCGTGATAATTCGCAATGGAAATGTTTGAGATATCTGATTCGATATCTCAGTTTCTAGCAAAGCTATTTGGAAACTGAGCCATCGAAAAATCAAAGATGTGCGTGACCGCTTCTGATTTTTTCATTGTTATCCATCTCTCCAAACATACAATATATATAATAAAATATAAAAACTGGAAAAAATGATTAAGAATCGTGTCTAGAAAGTTTACAGATTTTAATTTAGCGAAATTAATCGGAAAAAAATTATAAATCATTTGTAATTTTTGTATTCTTAATGCTGCCATACATGAATACGATTAAGATACTACGCATTTAAAATATTCAAGGTAATTGACGATGACATTCAGTTGACTTCATAATGTCGCCTTTCTGTCAATCTCTTTGTATTTCGATAATAGCCGATAAAACGTAAAGTCTAGTGTCGTCAAATGGAAAATACTCAGTTTAATGATTAGGCAGTCTTCACGGAGTGATGAACTGACGTGAACGAATATACTCGAATCTTGCTGCGAAATAAAGGAAATGAAGGTAAATGACGTCACTTTCGCGAGAGAACAAAAGCGATTGAGAAAATATTACATCGGATCGTGTCGACGACGATCGATCGAGCACGAGCATTGAAGTAAAATCGACTCGGTGATCTAACCTTTTACGCCTTGCTCTTGCTCGTCGTCTGCCGTTTGTTGTGCTCGGTGTTCATCATCTTGGTGAGAATCTTTCTGGAATGGCCGCTCGGGTCGAAGTGATTCGTGTGCGCGACAGCCTCGCGTTTGCTCCTCTGTTTACCGCCGTGCGAGGTGAAGATATGCTTGTCGTAGTCGTAGTTGAAGTGTTCGTACTCGTCGACGTATGCCTCGGACATAGTTCACGAGATTCGATGTACTCGGGGACGGTTGCGAAAAGAAAGTCGCGGGCGCGACGTGAATATGCAGAGTATCGCTCGACTCGAAATGACTCGACCGGGGAGATCGATTCGCTACTGGTCGCGCGGCGTTCGCCGACCTGGGTTTATATACGGTGACCCGGTTCCGCGGGCCGCTCATGCGTGCTTCGTTCGTAGCTGAAGCCGTGCCGGCGCAATAAGGCCCGGTTTCTTTGCCGGCCAATGGCGATGCAATGCTCTCTCAACCAGACGTGACCAGACGACAATTCAACGCGAATCTAATGTATCATGTTTTCCTTTGTTAATTTCGCATAGGAAAAAAGACAAAAGGAAATGTCTTCTTTTATACTTGTTTATACAACTGCGTAATATCTACGTATATATACGTCGAGACGGTAACCTTTTGCGGCGTAGATCTTGTGGCATCGATAACTTATCGAGGAGCTCCATTTCTGGCTTTTTCGCAAAATTATGTAACTCCTGTGGATTTCGATTATTTGTATCAGTTGCGAAAAGGGAAACAAACTAATTAAGAGGCGAACAAAATTGCACAATGCTGTCTAGGTGTGCAACGTTATGACAAATATTATGTATAGAACGCTCGTCAAAACATTACAGATAATAGTTTATGATGCATCTCAGATATTTCTCCAAGCGTAGCGTTATGTTTTCAAGGACGAAAATAATTGGGCAGATAGAACCACCTGGCAACATTGTAAAGGTACGTGCCGTATTGTTGTGCAGATGTGTGCTGATTCTGTGTTATTGAAGCTTATATGGATCTACTAGCATTAAGTATTTACATAATTTTTCAGAAACTTTAGAGCGATTTCAACTAAGCTTTAACTTAATTGTTGATTAGTTTATCAATTGTAATATCCTATTAATCATTTTATTAATTTGAAATCATTAATGTTTTATTGTTCAATGAAAAAAAGATAAAGGACAATGAATTATATATTTAAAAGTATTGTGTACATATATTTGTGTAATTTTAAGCAATTTGGTCAGAATATTTATATTGTAGAATATTGTCTCAGACAATCAAGCGTGTCAGCAAAATAGTGCGAATCTATGATTACTTATTTTATGCTAGCAATTTGCCATATATTTTTCTTCAACGATTTTGAATATATTGACATCTTAGCAATACACAAACAACAATGTATTGTCAGCAGTTAATGGAGCAGCATCAGATTTCGCGTTGTCGGCAATATGTGATCCTACAGATTGTTATAGTAATAGACAGCAACAGCACGCGATTGAGCAACAATTTTGATGAAGAAGATTTTGAAGTTGTCAGCAAATTGTTGCCAAATTACTGCATAAAATTGTCATATCGTAAAGGCATTAACTTGCCAACAAATATGAATTCAGTTGCTGTAATTTTGATAGCAACATATATATTTGCGAGTAACATACTAACAACAAGGCACTTTGCTATCTGGATAATGCAGAATTATTAATATTGTATAATTAGAGATACATATTTTAAAAATATAATTTCGCTGTATGCGATTATAAAATAATCAATTAAGATACTCGGAGATACTTTTGTTGAATCCTCAATCAATTATTTCATATTTCATTATACTGGCGTATCAATATAAAATATAAACAGATAACTTCTATATAGACATTATCTATACGAACAATACAAATCGAAAACCTGTAGATAAATTAATTTTTGAGAAGTTGTTGAATAACACATTGTTGTCGTCAGAAACGTAATTGGGTATTTGAAAATAAGCAGTGTATAATTTAATTATTGTGAAAGATCTCTCACGATGATAGTTCTTTTCATACACGAGGTCTTCACTCCCGTTGCTTTCAATAGTTATTACTTACGTGGCTAATCTATATGTTCCAGACGACCTAGAAAATTCCAACACGTAAGCTCACCCGACGTCCAAGTGCATTGCCTTCTGCGAGTTCTATAGAGCGTGTATTTCTGATGCCAGCGCTCTGATGCCATGTAACAGTGCTGCTTTTAGCCATGTGCAGATTTCTGAAGGTAACTCTTTTATACAAAACGATATATTTCTTATCTTGTCAAATGTTTCGAGAAAACATTGAGAAATCGCGCAGTTATGATATTGCTCCCTGTATCAAATTGAAAACATTTGTAAAAATAAAAAGAATAGGAAAGAATAGAATAAAAGTAAACGAGTTAGCTATACTTAAGAATCAATGTTTATATATCGATAGGAAAAACGCGTGTTAGGTCACATTCTAATCGTTTGCAAACTAGATGTGACTACTTACAATCCGCCTTGCGGAGGTGTGGCGAGACGCTCGTAATGAGGACATAAACAACTTGAGAAATATTTTGTTATTACATTCACCAAGCGAATATAAATATCACCGCGCGGTGCCGTTGAAAAAAACTGATATCACGTATTAACACACGCGCAATCAATCGAGCTTGTTTCTACGTCATACGATGTCAATGTACACAAGTCGAAGTTATTGAAGCATAAAAGATGCGTCTCTCGCCGACGAAATCTCTCGATTAAATTATTCTGTATTTTTTAATCACACGCCTTGTTCGTCATGAGCTTTCCATATAGCTTTGTTTTATATAAGAATTTTATTTAGCAATAATCTAAATTTTCCTTGACATTATATAAACAGAATAATAAAAAATTGATAACATCAAAATGAGGTGACTGAAAAATGACTTTTAGACCGATATTCATAGTCTATATTCATATTTTAAGACTATCTTGAGTAATATCTTAAGATGCTAATGCGGTTTTCTGCTTGATTCATGATGTCTTAAGACTGCACTTAAGATGATCTTAAATGTAATAATCGAGTATGAATACCGGCCATAGTAATCATTTTGGAACCACTTTGACATCACACTGACGACTTGTGTTTAAATAAGTTGGCACTACATTGAATAATGTCGTAAAGGTAGTAAAATTGATAAACAATATAATTCTTTATGATATCATATTCAATACTTATCATTTACAGGAAAATCTGATATGTTTGCAAAATCTATATTTTACTTCAGTGACGAAATACACATAATATTTATTTAAGCAAATCACCGATGTTAATTGATGCTACAAATAGATGTTTTATATTCAAATTTTTTATTTAGTTTTTTATTTGATGTTATAACATGTGATTCTGTGATATATTATAACACCGCATTGATGTCATAATTAAATACCGCGTTTGCTTATAATTGTTTATACTTAAAACATTAGTTCCTTCCTTCTTTCACGGCGCATTTTATTTTCAAGGCCGAACATTGTGATACGAACGATGAATTATCTCGACCATAAGCACGAAATACGTGCTCGTATTTTCGTGCACTCCTTTCGCCGACGTGAGGCGACATTTAATTATAGCTTATAGAATGTGTTATCTCCGCTAAGTCAGCAGACAAAGTTCGGTCATGCAACTTCTTCTTTCTTCTTCTCATTTTTGGCGTTTATAAAAGTGCTGTGTGAAGGAAACCGTCGATCGAATTTGAAGAACGAATTTGACGACGACCAGACGAAAGGAAATTGGATACGTAGTACTGTTAATCGATTGATCCTGATGGCTGGCATTAAATCAACCCCTCCCGATCTGTTCTTAACTAATCGAGAGAATCCTCCCGGACGGCTTCAGACGAAACAGGTTTTGTCGAACTGTAGAAGGGGAATTGCTAATGCAATGCCTTATATTTACACTTCCCAAGCGTCGTCTTGACGTTGTAAAAAACTCTGAAGCAAGAAGATTAAAAAAAGAGAAACATGCAGTGACATACTAAGAATATGAAAAATAATTTCCCCCTAAAAAAGTGCTGTCATCAAAATAATGTATCACTTTACGTCAATTATTAAAATTTGATTTTATTGATTAACAAGATTATTTTAAAAAAATATTATAGAACAATTATTAGAGAATTTCACAGAGATTGAGATATGTAGATAACATTTAAGGCCCGATTTCACAATATATGATTACCTAAAGATTAAAGGTAACTGAGAAATTCATGAATGAATTTCATTAATGAATCTGTTGATAATCTTCAATTTTTTTTAATCTTTAAACAAATACGGTGAAATATATATATTGTGAAAATGGGTCTAAGTGAAATATTTGGTACATATCCAAAGTAATTTAAAAACAAAAAACAAATCGCAGTGATATCGACATCAAGGCTTTACGCCTATAAATAGCGCAGTAAGGCTAGAGATTTTCAATAAGCATCACGTCCATAGGAGCGTCATACAACTGTGCTGAGAATTCAAATCGTACAAACATGTATATCAACTGTGAACAAAAATTCCTTGATTTTCGTGTCCTTTATGTTACACATTGCCTTTATGTGTTGGTTTGTGTTCATCAATATTACGAAAATTAAAGGAAAGATAAATTCGCAATAATGTAGATATTATTGAAGGAGGAAGAGCGATGTAAGAACAAGATGCGACCAATGAGCGAGAAAGTGTAAAAGTTTTATATTGAACAATAATACTGACACATCGATCTTTCAAACACGAACATCTCGCCAATAACAATAACAAGATTGATCGCATACATCCGTGTTATAATCATGAGATTTTATCCGGCATTGTTTGAACAAAGTCTATTATCTTTCGCAGAAGGTTTGTGCTACAAAATGATGGCTGGATCACCGGAAGGTGACTCACGCATGCGAATCAATTGATTCCATACACATCGCCACCTTTGCGATAATCAGCGTTCGCGAAAATTGTGGAATTTTCATACAGTACGACACAAGCTACGCTGCCGCGAAGTTTGTAGCGTTCCGTGACGTGTCCTAAACGTTTCAGACCATCGACCACTTGTTTAGGGATCCCATACTCGTAAGACACCTTGGGCGGAAATAGCTGGTGATGTATCCTCGCTGAATCCACCGCCTCCTTGACCGTCCGTCCCATCCAAAGTATTTTCGCTGTCACCTAAAAGCATACAGGTTTTATTCGTGAACATCATCTATTGATTTGTTGATCCTGATGACGCTAAATAGAGATTCAAATTGGATTACATAGAAATCCGAATTGCGCAAGTTGTTAAATATTTAAGGTGTTACTGACTTGGGATACTGCCGTTGTAATTTTCGTAC